GAATTTTTTGTTAAACTTTTAATTAATAAATTTTTGATTGCTGAATTTTTTGATTGTCAAATTTTTGATTGCTGAATTTTTGATTGCTGAATTTTTGATTGCTGAGTTTTTGATTGCTGAATTTTTGATTACTGGATTTTTGATTGCCACTTTATTGCTAAAATGTAATATGCCGAGTGACAGTAATCGAAAAGAATTCAGCAATATTTTTATTAATAAATTTAATTAAATTTGTCAATAATTCAGCTGCCGAATGACATAATTTTGACTAATGAAATATTCTATCAATCAAATAGCAACCTTATAGGATATCTCTTATTGAATATAAATTTGTGAGAATAATGTTGATTCAAAAAATCATTTAACTATTCTATAGTCTTTGAATTTTGCCAATTATATTAGTCAAAAAGAAAAATATTCAAATAAGATTTTGTGTTAACTATTGGAAGCTTAACAAAGTTATTAAAAAAAATATATATTTACTATTTAAAATTGATAAAATTCTTGATTTAATAAAAAAAGATCAAGTGGTTTTCTTTTTTGAATATAGTTAATGAACATTGGCAAGTTAAAATAAATTCAATAAATAAAGAAAAAACTATTTTTATTATTAAATAAGAAATCTTTAAATTTAATATTATACTTTTTGAATTAATCAATATATTATACTCTTTTTAATAACTTATGAATCACATCTTTTATGATATTATAAAATATATATATTAGTATACTTATATGATATTAACATATATTTTGTCATATCTGAGAAGTTTTTATAATAATTAATAAAAGTTTATGAAAGATTTAGACAAACCAATCTCATGTCCAATTTGAAAAAATATAACTTTTACAAAAAGAAACATACTTTTTTAAAATATATTATCAATTAATATGGGATTTAATCAGATTTAATCAAGTAAAAAACTTTGTTATACTAATCAATACTACTGAATTAAGAGGATTTATTGAACTAGTATCTTATTACTGCCACCTCATATCAAGTTTTATCACTATAGTTGAATCAATAAACAAGCTTTTAAGGAAAAATACATCTTATATTTAAAATAAAAAATATTAATTAGTATTTAAGAAACTTAAGAATAAATTAATTAACAAATATTTGTTTAAGATATAAAATTTTTGAAAAACAATTAGGCACTTATTTGAATGTTCAACAATTGATTTTAATAAAATAGATATTTGAAAAGAACAGAATAGATAATATATATGCTAAAAATATTATCTTCTTAAAAGATATTATCAAAGAATAAGCAATATAAATAAAAAAAATAGTTGGTTTTTAATCTGTTAAATAGAATTTTGCAAGATTTATATGATAATCTGTAAGTATTAAACTTTATAGTTAAAGGATAATTCAAATTATGAGGGAAACAAAATATAATTCCCTAAGTTATATTTAAAGAAAAAAAATTTCAATAATGGATGAGCTGATATGTAAAAGCCATTTAAATTGTAATTAATTAATTCTATTAATTCATAATAAAGACAAATCATGTCAACCTAATGACGGGTTAAAAAAAAAAAAAAAGAAGCCTATTATTAAATTTTAATATTTTTAAAAACATAGTTAGAAATTTTTACTTAATATGATAATATCCTTTTTGATTGTAATAGATTTGAGAAATGCAATTGCAAGTTTAATATAGATTTCAATTCAAAGTGTTTATTATAGATATTATTCAATTGCTAATCAAAATAACAATTCTAATAATTATTTAATATATCTAATTTTTTATTATGGTATATTTATGCATGATAGCTTTTGTTAAACATCCTTTCAAGTATAAATCAGAATATATCGAATAGTCTAAATTAAAGCCATATAACAAATCATTGTCGCCTTTAATATACATTATATTTATATATTATAAATTACTATTAGATATTAAATACGAATTTTTTTTGCTGATTTTATTGTGTATAGATATACTACACAACGTCCAAGGCATCTTGTCGTCTATCCAATTATGCATTAAGGGCAACCCAGTTTTTTTTTTTGAAATATATATATATATATATATATATATTTTAAAATGAACGAATTCAATCAACCCCAGGCCGCACTAGTGCAGTAGTTTATTATTAGATGTTGGTCCGTGCTAAAACACTAAAAAAATGGATCAAGATGGTCAGTCTTTGCAAAGTATTTGTCGGCGAACGTAGCGTTTAATACCTTGTGCAGATTGGAAACAATCTCATCGGGGGCCGGGGAAAATGCACTGTTTATGTATAAAAACTGAGATTGGAATAACAAGAATGGCCGTGAGTTTCATGCCGAAAAATCATCGAATGAGATGGTGTTTAAGAGATCAATTGTTACCAAAGGGTCGGACGCTTTGTAATTCAGTTCCCTCCTCAGGAATTGGATGACCGCTTGAAATTTATTAGATGCAGTTATCTTGTAGAAATTTTGTTTTAAAATAGGAGCATTTCCTATGGCTCTGAATCGAACAACAACTTTTTAAATATTAACGAAGAAACCAAGATGATTAGCACTTAAAGAATGGGAGAAAGGTGCTTGGAAGATCACAACCACCTTTACTAGAATCCTTCTTTTTATACTTTTCTAGAGCCGTAGCGTGGTTTAGGGTCACTTGAGGAGTGGGATTTCCAGCAACAGTTGCGCCTAATGAGGTAGAATTAGAATGCGAAGTATCAGGTTTTGGTTTTACTACAGACATCATGGTACGGTCCAAAAATGTGAAAAAGTTCCGTTAAAGCATTTTACTACTACATTGTGTTACTCTGTCATGTGAGCTTGATTTTCCAAATTCATATTTAAGATTTGAGATGACGATTTTGATTATTTTTTTTTTTTTTTTTTCTTTGCAATGTATTCAAAAAGACTTTTTTCACGCGTATTACCACCCAGCTTCTCGGATGCTCTCGTTTCAAGAGCCAACATTGGCCTACAAGCCAATTCGGCTCGTAAAATGAGCGCATTTGCCAAATTTATGGAAACCATAAAGGAACAAATTGAAAAGAACAAAGAATTACAACAAAACGTAAAATTACTACAAGATCGTGCTGGGCAAATTGGGGAATCGGATACTTTACGGAGGGCAAAAGAGGTTTATGCCAAGGCCAGAGTATGAAAGATCTTTTCTTTAATAAGCTCGACTCTCTTCTTGTCCTTGAATTCATAGGATCGCACCAATAACATTGTCAACGTTCTTCAGGAAGGAGCAGAGTCTACCACAACCATCGGTTCGGAAAAGCTTAAAAAGTCGATGGATGGGATCAAAAAATCAGCTGAAAAAATAGGAACTTCTGTGTCGGACACGCTGAAGGAAGTCGGCGAGACTCCATTTGTAAAGGGGACCCAAGAAAAAGTTGGTTGAAAAGTTGAAATCTTCTTTTAACTTTCATAAATTCGATATTTAAATGTAGTTTATCATGGTCATAGATTTCAATATTATCAGACAAGGTATCTGAAACTACTGAACCAATACGGAAAACCAAAGTATACACGAACATTCGCGATACATTGAAGGAGACAGTAGGTGATGATTCATCGCGGTACGGCGGTTTTGTTGATAAGGAGACAAGACGAAGAATGAAGGAAAAGGCCACGATAAATTATCAAGGGACGCAATTTGAAGTGAATCCGGAGTATGTATTATCATTGGTTGAATTGGAGAAATAAGGATTATGAAAGATTTTTTAGTCTGATAAATCTTTGTGGCTTACAGATGCAACATTACAATTTTATTCTCACAGAGCTGGCTCGTCTATGGTACTTCACAAGGACTCAGCCTGGAAAGAAAGTTGGAATAAGTTTAAGGAGACCAACCCAGTGATTCAAGGTTCATAATTTTGCATACGCGCGCACCCTTTTTTTACAAGTTCATATCTTTACATAAAATTATTCTATATCTCCTCGTAATTTGAAGGCATATTTAATTTAAAAAGAAGCTATCAAGACAGTGATAATATCATTATTGCATATACCCGGGCATTTACTGATCGAGTATCCGATGCGTTAGGTGCGAGGTTCTTTCAAAGCGTTAAGTTCAGGAGGATCATTTAATTAATGTGGCAAAACAATTCTTGCAGGATCCTTCTTTGAAGAGAACGAAACTGCACAAGCCATCTCCCAATTGAAGATGATGGATCCTAGGTTTAATGTTGAATATTTTCTGAAAGAAGCTCGAGAGTATATTATACCCGAGATTATGGAAGCTTATCTGAAAGATGACATCGAGACCTTAAAGATATGGTGTTCAGAGGCGGTAGGATTTCTCTCTCTCTTTAAAAAAAAAAAAAAAAGAATTGCGTGTGTTGTGTTATTTGTAAGAATTTAAATCTGATAAAAAATTTGCGATTGCAGACATACACGGTTTTAACGCAAGGTATCAATGATCAAATTCAGAGAGAAGGCCTTTTAAACGATTCAAGAATACTCGATATTAGAAACGTAGAGGTAACAGGATACCCGCGGTTGATTCATAATTTAAATTTTCTTTTCACCAAATTAATTATTCCGACATCAAATATAGTTGATTGCGGCCAGAGTATTGGAAAACGAAATACCGGTGTTAATTATAACATTTAATACACAGGAAGTAATAGTGTTTCGTGATAAAATCTCAAAAATGATAAGGTATGGTCGCGATGATCAAATTGATCAAGTTACATATGTTTGCGTAATTGCGAAACAAGTAGATAGTATGGCCGATCCATTGACCAACGGATGGCGAATTATAGGTAATATCCGAGTTTTATTAATAACATGTTTTGTCCGCTATTTTTTTTTTTTTTTTTTGACTTCCTTCGCTCATTTCATTCTACCAACTCAAACTGTATCGCGTGAATACAAAAGAGATGGCAAAAAATAGGTCACAACAAATGTTATGGTAGAAATCACAATTACATGATCTTACGTAAGGTGAATTTTTTTAGTGATGTCATGTCAACCTCGATACTATTTAATTGCAAAGTCGCTACATTTTTAACACGGCTCAAGCCCGATCCAGCTAAAATTACAGTTTAGCGGCATACATACATACAGTATTCTATTTAGTACAGTATATTACAAGGTAGATAGGTTTAACCTTATTATACAAATTACTACGCTATAGTCAATTTCATCCATTATGGAAAGCAATCAGACCACACAATACAGCGGCCACCAGAAATATAAGGCTGATGAGAAACCAAACGAAGCCCCACACTTGAGAAGGACAACATCCGGTTAATTTTGCAAATTTGCTTGCATCCGACTCATTGACTTTCCTGATCACTAAACGAATTATAATTTACAAATCGCGTTAATGTTAAGTCGCAAAGAACATCTTTGTCGTAAAGCGTTGATCAAAGTAGCCGGGTGTGTAAAGTGGACTGCATATACACGAACTGCGATCAAAACTTTGGTCAGCACTTTACGATACTACGCATTACGTACCCAAATCGTCCAGTATATCCCACACCGAATAAAGACATGACATCACGCTAGTATGGGAGTGAGGAGATGAATGAGAATTACGAGTTTGATTTTATTCAAAAAAAAAAAAAAAAAAAGGAAAAAAAATTGACTCACCCAATAAACAAGACAACATATCTCAATCCTGCCCCGTTTTCAATGAACCATAGGGCCACAATTATTCCCACTGAAATAACAGTGATAATCCTAGTCAACCAATTCCTTGCCCACCACAAAATAACGATCAATAGTACACCAAGAACAATTGATGCGTATCTCGAAGCATTCACCTGGAACCCACAAAATATAAGTATGGCACCTATTAATGACGATCCGAGGTATCCTACATTTTGAGATGGACAAAAAATCTTGGTGAATTTTACCAAGCACACGAATAACGAGTTCGTCTCTACTTACCGGCCGGCAGTGTGCAACATTGAATTCCACCCAGCTAATCGTCAGTAGATCGATTAAAGCTCAACGACATGCGTAAAAACATAATACAATACAATTTAACTTGACTTGGTTTACCATTCTCGTAACTCCTCCTTCATCTGGATCAACTTCTATTCCTTGAATTTTGGCGCCCGTACAACAACCCACTGCGGCGTGCGAAAACTCGTGGAGCGCAACCGTCAACAACTAATGTAAAATAGGTTAAAATCATTTTGAAATTCTCTTGTTCCTCCAAAGCGTAAATAATAATAATACCTTGAGGGGGTAAAGAATGGTTTTTAATATGGGAACATTCCAAAAAATCATAATTATTATGATATAAACTCCAATAATTATTAATGTTTTTTTTTCGTCATCACTTGGAGTCAAGTCAGTTACAAAATCCCGCTTAACTAGGTCGTCGTGTTCGTATATAACCGGCATTTTATTTATCTTGCAATGGAAAAAAAAAAGATGAAAGTTTTCTTAAAAGAAAAGGGGAAAAAGCATATTATATTTGCTATCCGTAACACAAAAAACAACCCTCTTGGTGCTTGGAGTGTTCATCTAAATTTAGACGTTGCATCATTACTCAGAATGAAGGTGTAAAGGGTATGACGGTGGCTTAAGTTTCATGTTTCGCGATCCAAAGCATTAACTAGTTTAGGGCAAGCCATTTGTAACCGCGTATGAAATTTTGCAGATCCCGATTAAGCAAAATACGGGGTTTAAACATACAGATCATCCCGGTTCAACCGGAATATCGGGACCTTTAGTCAAAGCCCGATCAAAGTTATTTTTAATCTCAGAACCATTTAAATTTATGTTAATGATTTTAAGTCTTTAATATTTTGTTATCTTGATTGCAAATCAAAAAAAAATAATTTTATTAGCCATTATTCTGATAATATTAATAAGCACCCTTTGTGAACCTAATTAGAGATTAAGACACGTTTCTATCAACCTAATTATCTTATATAAAATTTTTTTGTTTCAAAAAAAAAACGAATGACTGATTACCTAATCATTGCATCAGATCTTACTCTTTTTAGAAATAAGCTTAAATTCTTGGGTATTGCTTTTCGAGGTCATACAGGTAACGTTTTGTTTTTGAAATCAATACATGCATAATGTCTTCTGAAGTACGAGCTGGAACTTCGAGATCAGGTATCCCTTTCTTTTATAGGCATAAGGTGAGGGTGAATGGATTAATGAAAAAAAAAACAATTTATCTCGTGTAGCCTCTAGTACTTCCAAAACTTGGATAAATGCATACCTCGTTTTATACAATGTCGCCTCCTGGATCGGTTGGGCCTACGTTCTTGGCTCAACTTTATCGACGTTAGCGCAAAATAATGTGGATTATACAATTGTGTATGATCGAATTGGGTGGTCACTAGCAATTGTGCAAACCGGCGCTATTTTGGAGGTAACTTACAATATGTTCGTGATATTTTCAAATTTTAGAGTTTTTCTTTAAAAACGTTTAATCCTTTGCAAAGATTCTTCATGTGATGATCGGTACGTGTTTAGAAAAAAAAGGCATCATCGAATTCATCGAAATTATGCGCTAAACTTTTAGCTTTAACTAGGTTTTGTGAGGTCTCCACTCTTCACCACAATCTCCCAAGTTATGTCCCGTCTATTTCTAGTTTGGTTTATAGTTGACGTTTTTCCAGAAGTAAATATTCCATAAGCGCATCATAGTTACGTACCGAGTTCCAAAGTGCAATTTAATGAATATCTTGGTATAGGTACGTTCCCATTGGGCATTCACGACCATGACGGTTGCATGGTCAATAACTGAATGTGTTAGATATGCATATTATGGTCTTAATCTTGTTGGAAGACAACCCGGTTGGTTGCTGTGGTGCAGGTATCGTTGTATTATTTTGGGTCGATTAGCGTGAATGGTGCTAGATGTTTTATTTACGACCCTCACATTTATCTTGGAATAATGCGTAAAAGATATAGCTTCTTCTTTATTTTGTATCCTCTCGGGGCGGGAAGTGAAGCCACTCTTGTTTACCAGTCTCTTCCATATTCCACACAAATCAGTAAAATTTATTATTGGTTTGAGATCGTAATGTTGTTCATTTACGCTCCTGGTAAGCGATATGACAATGACAAATTCTTTCTTGGAATGTATAGTATTCTGTGATTTATGCTCAATTCTTCATGTAGGATTCTACGTTATGTATACTCACATGATTGGCCAGCGTAGAAGGTATTTGGGCAAAGGAAAGTCGAGAAAGGTCGAATGATGAAACCAATAAATCGAAATACCGATGTGTCTGGACACTACATATCATTGATGCGCTATTAAATTTTTTTCTTGGTGAAGCGGTTATTAGAAAATGCGAATTTACATTTCCTATTGCACATCTATGAATACAATTTTCACGGTTTAATGAATCCCCAACCTGAGCTTTTCAAATAATACATACGGTACATACAGTCACATCTTTCATATTGTTTACAATAAAATAGATAAATGTGAAATATTAAATTTTATCCTGAAACCAACAAATTGTTACTTCAAAGCTTCTTCAAAAGATCCTTAACCATGTTTATCATTTTAAATCCAATAAATAAAGATTTATATCAATTCTTTAAAAAAGTAAAATATTATTCTCTAGACCTGACTTATTGTAAAATATTTCAATGCAATAATAAGTTAATCACTAAGTAAAAATCTATAATATTGTAGATAGCTATATAAACTTTTCAATAAAAATTATAAAATAAAAAGGTATTATATAAAATACTTTAAATCAAATTTTAAGAATAATATTACATTCTCTTAATATTAGGATTAATCATTATCTTTTTTTTTTTTTTTTTTAACCTACAGTCAGATTAGCAGTGTCTTTATTATATATATGCTAGATATTTACAAATTGTTGTGACTTTCACATACTGACTTACTTGTCATCAAAAAACTATTTCTCTAAATGCAACCTAGGAAATGATATTTCACTTCTTTATTAATTTGAATAATTCCTCTAATTAATAAAATCATTGCCTACAGATCATTATTATCGCTAGTCGAAAAAAAATTATTCGGCATACTGCCACTTGTATAACATTCAGCAAAAAATACTACCACTTATGTAATATTCAGCAAAAAATAAACAATTCAGCAAAAAAAAATGACATAAATAAATTGGCAACTACAAAAATTGACAATAAAAACTATTCATTAAAAATTCGTCAAAAATTCATCAACTATTTATCCACTATTCGTCAACTATTCATCAATTATATTTGCAACTATTCGTCAAAAATTCGTAAACCATTCATCAACCATTCGTCAACTATTCATCAACTATTCGTCAACTATTCGTTAACCATTTATCAACTATTTATCAACTATTCATCAAAACTATTCATTAAAAATTCATTAATAATTCATTAAATTATTTATTAACTATTCATTTAAAA